AAAACATTACCATCATTGGCTCTTCCATTGCTTCCCACATCGATGTACATAAATTTGCAGTCAGCGTCAACCAGTGCCAAAAGAATTACACTATAACCTCCTTTATAGTTAAAAAATTCAGAACAACTTCCCGGTGGACGTTTAATGGCAACATGTTTACCATCAATGGCACCACAACATGAAGGGAAATTCCATTTAGTTTCAAAGTTTTTCTGAATTTTTTTTGACCCACTCCTCCTGAGTTTGTGGAACCTAAAATAGAAAACTTTGCTTAATATTGTACTTAAAAAAAAAAAATAATAATAATAATAACAACATGTCCAAATATACAGAAACAGAAAAAATCTAAATATAAACATACTTTCACTAACTCTATAGCATGAACTGAAGTAGCGTGTCCAAAGTTAAACTCTCTAAACTTAGATTGTCAACAATACACTTGCTAACGCCATCTTTTAATTCCAGGCTATAGAAGAACCAGGCACTCCCTCTAATACAAGTGTTGTTGAAGAAAATTTTGACGATGACCTTACGGAATTGGATCAAGATGGTAATGACGAAACGGTTCAAGAAATCCCCACCGAAAACACAGAAACGAACTTCGTTCCTCCACTACCGAAAAAAAGGCGCATGACCAAGCTAGCGAAAGTCGAACATGCAATAGCAAAGTTACAGCAAATTACTGACAAGACCCGGCCTTCATCCACTTCATCAGTGGAGATCGATGAGATGGCTGCCTTTGGAAACCATATAGCAGCTCAACTACGTACTCTACCAACCAAAAATCGTCTAACTTTACAAGACAAGATACAATCTTTAATAACAACAGAACGGTTGAAGTTAATTGAGTCTCCTCAAGCGTCTCCATTGATGGGTTACAGCTCTTCATCATATGGGGTTGACTCAGACTGTGATGACTTTTCACTTGATGGAAGTTGTGTTTATAGAAACCTCCAGTAAAGACCTAAGTATTATCCTGTGTCATGTTTGTTATAATTTTTAATTGTAATTGATACAATTAAAAAAACAAGTGTCGATTTCTTTATTCTCAATTACAAATTTGTAAAAGATATTTCTTTGCTAATAAATCTAAAACACAGAAATTATTTTTTTTAAGAGCAACCTAAAAATATTTGTCTTACATTGGTCCGTAACATTTGCCTCAAACTGTACAGAGACCATCGTTCAAGGGTTACCGCACCAGTCACACCATTGACAACGGGCCCTTTTTTAAAACTAAACCTAATGTACTATTCGTGCCAAATGTGACAGTTTAGTCCATCCATAAAGGCAATATTAAATTAAACTTGGTCTTATAGGCAGACTTGAAAGTCACATTTGGCACTAACTGTAGTTTCTTTACTGCAAAATATATAGCTTACAAAACTCAAAAATTACCCAGCTTACCTTCATGTAATCACTAAGTGCAGTTGTAATAGCTTCTAGCACTTCTGGCATAAATCTTGAAATCGTGCAAGCCGGAATACGGAACAGTAATGAAAGAGACTGGTAACTGTCACCAGCAGCCAAATACCTTAAAGCAACTTCCAGCTTTGCTCTTGCAGGAATAGCATTTCTCATGACCGTATCAGTTTTCTTAATCTTAGGTTCGATTGAAGATAACAGTTCATTAAACTGATTCACACTCATTCTCAGGTGTTTCTTGAATTCTAGAGGATCCTCTTCAGAGAGCTCACGCATAATAGTAGCTGAAGCTCCAAGTGTCTCTCTTCGGGATACCCATTCCTTCACCCAGCATGTTCTACTTTCATTCAATATTTCTTGCAGTTCTTCACTCAAACACACCACCACTTCCCTAACTGCATCATTAACGGCTTCCTGATACTCTTTTTCACTTTCTATCATGTTAAATACAGTCGTCACTCCTTTTTTGTCAAACACCGCAGATCAACTGGCGTCCACTTTTATGCCAGTTAGTGGAAGCTACTAATGGCCCCGTGTAATGGTGTTCTGACCGTCAAACATACTGGCGGCCACTAGTGGCCGCCATTACTGTCCGCCACTACTGTCCTCGTGTACAGCGGCCTGTAGGTCTGAGGAGAAATTTACAGTATTAATGGTGCTTGGGAGGGTATTGAATTTGTCGAAAACCTGTTGCAAACTGATATTAATATTTTTTCGTTAATTTTAAAGATAAATTAATATTTTTTTAAATATTCAACACAACTAATTATATATTTTAACTTGATCCTGCAGATTGTTGTAAATTAATCAAAAGATTAGTCAATAACTTTTGTTTTGTGAGTAATTTGTTTTGTGTGTTTGGTGGTAACAGTGTCTAGCACGCATGCACCCCTAATTACTCGATCAGTAGCACCGAGCCAACATAGTGGCAGTGCAGTGGCAATACGATGCGTACAGCTCGGGCGCTCGTCAACACCCCTACAGCCTACTCCCGTACCAATGTTGTAACGAAATTGATGCGTAATTCTGAAAAATAGTTTAAATCTTCTAACAATTATTTCTTTCTATGAACTTCAGAATCAGAATGCTTTATTAGCCAGAGTTTTTTTAATGAACTATGACTATTTATTTTTATTTTTAGATATTAAAATAAAAATTTTCTTGGCCATGCGCCCTCTGGGAGCTTGCGCCCATAGGCCCGGGCCTACCGGGCCTATTGGGAAATCCGGCCCTGAGTCAAAATCTGAATGGAGAGAAATTAGAGTAGGTGTCCCACAGGGCTCAAGAAATATTCAAACGGCTGCCGTTTTTGACTCGGTTGTCCGTTTGAGTTCGGGTTTGCAGCAATGTGTTTTGCTACCTAAGTCCTTTAATTTGATACCAAACTCGACATATGCTGTTATTTAAGAATTTTGTTTGACTCCTCGTGAGCCCACCCCCCTTAAGGAATAAAAAAGTGATAATAGCTTAAAAGAGTAGAAATTTATGTCTATTATTGATATACAGAGTCTCATTACTTTATCCCTAATAAAAAACCTTTTGCCTATTGGTAAAAAATATATTAAAACGTTCCGGGACTTATCTTCCACACTGTATAAAGATTTAATAAACAAAACGTCTTTTAAAAGCAGCCTTGCCTCATTTCTTGTATACAAAATTTTATTTACAACTACCAAGCACAACCTATGATACTGCAGAACATGTGGCATAGATTTAGTTCCAGAAAGATACACTTGAGTGCAGCACTAAATGGTCTGTCAATTCTCAGGGTCAATGTACCATGGAAAGAAATGAGCAGAAGACTTGTATCAATGAAATAAATCAGCTGAGAACGTCAAAACCGTCTAAACTCGGGCGTCGCGGTTAACTCCACAAGGGTGTTGCATCGAAATAACGTGTACAGAATACTACCACTAAATAACGTGTGTGTCGCGGTTAAGGGGTTAAATAGGTATACCAAGTTTTCTTTACCTAATATGGTGTTTAAACGTTATTAAGTAATCCAAATTTTTTTCAAAAATAAAACCCTATACAGTATACTCAATTTCAAACAAAATGAGTTTAGTCAAATCAGTTCGGTAGTTAAGAAGATTTTTATTGATGTTAAGGCCTGAATAAAAGGCCTGTAATACGTCAATTGGTTAAATCATAATCGATTGGTTTATTTAATTAATTATTATAATTAATTTATTATCTATATATTAATACGCAAGCAGTTTTCTTTTCACAGTCATAACTAGATAACGGCTTGGCGGATTTTAACGTTTGAGGTGTCAAATTAAAGGCATTTTCACGTAGATGTGCAAATACGTCTAAGAGTATTAAGAAAGGGCATCACTTAAGTACAGTTAAGGGCTTAAGTTTGGGAACGGCGGCGCTACCTGTTGACATTAGATCAAACCATAAAACTCGATTCCCTTTGTTTACAACTAAATATATGGACGTAGTTTGATATAGTTTTTAAGGTTAACCACAGACTCTAGGACTTATTACTTCCAGATCAAAGCCGGAATTTTATATTTTTATTTAAACATCTCAGTCTGGTTTATAAAAAAAGAGTTTCCTAGCAAGACCTGACAAACAAATTGTTTGTAATAGTGGCATTTATTTACCTTACATTGTATTTTACTGAATTATCATGTAGTTTTGGTTACAGTTCGGTGTGATTAAGTGAATGTTTGAAAGTGATTATTTACAGTGCAGTTACCCGTTACATTACCACATTATCATGTAATTTACAATGTGTGTCAAAATTACTTTCTAGTTTTTTCTGTTGATTGGTTAACTTTCATATTTTATCTAAATTTAAAATAAAATGCCACCAGTAAGACGAAGAACTGTGAGTGGCTGGAAGGAGCGCAAACGTGACCACTTGCATCAACCTCACAATTTGACAGATACAGAGTGGCAGTTCAAAAACTAATAATGTTAACCGTGAATCCATTCTAGATCCGTCGTGAAATACACTCTTATGTTCCCAACCGGAGACTATGGTTGGGGCACCTAACTTAAACATGCCTAAAACAGAACATATCGTAGGAATAATTTAATAATGCTAGAATACGTGTCGTACTGGTTGGCGTCAAGAGAGGGATTAAGCTTGCTACATTAGGTTTGAAAAGATCACTTTACAGTGTGTGGTTGACATCTACGTTCTCATAGAGGGCGACAGTACATAAGAGATAACCAAAGCAGTATGAGAACAGATCTATATTTAAATATTGTACCGTTGATTGCTTTTATAATTTTTACAACATAATATTTTTCATATTTCTATAATCAGTGATAGAAATTACTTTAGAGTGACTCTATGATTGAGGTCTTGCTGTCTATGTTTTTTCTTCATTATTTTATTACAAGTTGCAGTTTTGCTCAATTTTGAGCAACAGGTTATCTAGTTGGTTAAATTTATTAAATCATAATAAGCTCTCTCAAGGGTTCAATAAATAATGGATTGTCAGCAATAAATTTTGTCAAACTAGTTGAAGAAGCCTACTTAAAAACTGGTTTACAACAGTTTAAAACTCAAATTGAATTACCCAAACATATAATACCAAGGTACATATAATATCAAATTGCAATACTACAAATCTTAGTTAACTTGTAGATCAAATAAATATATTTGGTAAGATAACAACTACACAGTCTAGTTATAGAAGGTTGTCAAACGTATCCATGACACCACTGAGGGCTTTGACAATCTTGTCATTAGACTTTGACTTGGGTGGTGCCGGAGCAGGAGTCACCCCAGTCTCACAAGGGATGCTTGGTATTTGCCAGCCTTGGGTAGAGAATCCCTGTGACAGAACACTTTTATTACAAGAGTTGAAATCCTACATCTGTAGATGTGTTAAGGGAGAGAAATGGTGGGGGGTTGTTTCCTTCACTTTTAGAGAAATATATTGATAAATCAATTACTTAAGGATGGTTTTCATCTCCTATTACTTCAGATGGTCAATTAACTGTTCTAAAAATACAGTACTAGAAAAAGTGTTACAATTTTAAATTTCTTTTTAAATATGAAAACAGTTTTACACTTTTGAACAACTAAAAATACAATACACATTTGAACAATGAATAACATGTTACCTAGAATAGTATGGGTTGATTTCTAAATACAGTAGAAACATGATAAACTGGCTTAAACGGGCGGCCTCTATTCTGGGCCATAAGGTACTTGAGACTCAATTTTAGTTAATTAGAGCTACTAAGAGAGCTCTTAGTAAATTTGAGACAGCCAAAGTACCTGCATAAAGATTTGATAAAAATAATAAATAATAGTAAACAATTGCAGTCCAGGAGCGTGGAAGTGGGTGGCGAGTGTACATAGTAAGTGCTGTACATAAAACCTCTGATTATTATAAACTCACTTTAACATTAAAACTACAACACATACAAAAAATTGAGTAAAAATCCCTTATTTTCTAAAGTAATAATAGTCAGGATGGTATTTTTAATTCAGGACGGGACAGGATTTTTTATTTCCAGTCATCATGACTATAATCCATGATCGCAGGGACATAATGATCGTCACCCACAATAGCAGCAGAACTGTGATCATCTTCCCGATCCTAAAGACATCATCGACCTTGATGAAACGAGGGAATAAAATACATAAAATACTTTATTAATAATTATTGATGTAAAAAGGAAAAATATTAAAACACTAACACTTCAATGTAAACATATTAGAACAACATAAAATAATCAAGCAGCTGATATAAAAGATACATTTAAAATATATTTGATTATATAGCACAAGCAAAGCAATACTATATAAAATCCTCAACATTCCCCCTTAATCAAAAATCTTTTTTATTTAATCAGAATCTTTAAGTCCCAAGTCCGTCACAAAGTGATAACATTTTTCACATGACAAAGATTTAGTTAAAATATCTGCCGTTTTTTTTGTTAGCATATACTTGATTTCAATGAACTTCTTTTGTACAGCTTCTCTAATGAAGTGATATCTAACATCAATGTGCTTCGTGCGATTATGATCTTGAGTGTTTTGAATAAACTTCTGAGCACTTTGATTGTTATCATATAGTACAACGGTGTAGAGCTTGTCACTTATTTCACTTAAGAAGTTTTTCATAAAACACACCTCTTTAGTTATATTACTCATTGCTAAGTATTCCGCTTTCGTACTGGATAAAGCAACAGTACGTTGTTTCCTTGATTCCCAAGAAACTGCACATCCTCCAGCTTTCAAGACAAAACCAGTTGACGATCTTCTATCAATAGTGTTGCCAGCCCAATCTGTGTCAACTTCCAAATTGAAGTTATTGGTAGATCTGAATGTAAGTGCATACTTTCTAGTCCCAACTAGATATCTCAGTAGACGCTTCGCTGCAATCCAACGACTTTTATCATGACATGTGTTGAACTGACTTAAATACAGTAGAACCTCTTTAATCCGAACTAATAGGGACCTGGGGTAGTTCGGACTATTGAATAGTTTGGATTACAGAACATATTGTTGTTTTTACATAACAATAGCTAGGGAAAAGGGAAAAATGCTTTATAAAGTAAAAAACAGTGTTTATTTAATTAATACAGTAGTAAACATAGGGAATAAACAGTACTGTACATTACAATTGAAATAAATATGGTGCGTATATCAATAAATACCGTATTCAATAAAAAACTAATGTTCTGTGTATAGAGTACAGCAATGAGGCGTTCGGATTAGTGGACGTTCGGATTACAGGGGTTCAGATTAAAGAGGTTCTACTGTAGTTTGTAACATACGATATATCAGGCCTTGTACACACTGAAAGATATAGAAGTCCACCAATCAGCTTGTTCAGTAAACTTGAACCATTCATATAATTTAACACTCTATGTTTTATTTAATGTACAATATCTTTTCCTTGTAACATGTGTTCTTAATCAAATTAAATTATTCTCTATTGTTAACATATGTTGTGTGTATCAAAATGTAAATAAAAACAGTTCTTGTCCTCTTGTAAACCTAATAAGTGTGTTCATTTTCTCTCTCTCATATTCATTAACATGTTCACTGCGTTGTATATTTTCCAGCATTATTCCAATGGTGCGTTACGAGATCTATAGGTCTCGTCCGCTATGATTACCCAGGTGCGATACGAGACCCCGAGATTAGGTTGCGCAGTAATCTTTTGCGCATCATAACCTCGTAAAGAAAGGCGAGAGAGCGCTGAGTGTTTGTTTATCTGAACCAGTACAATGTTGACAATCTTCAGCCAGCGCAGGAAGTAAATATGACGTCATTGTACGAGACCCCGAGATCTCGTACCGCACAGCTGTAATAGTTCATTATTTATTTGTATTTATTCTTTTCCTACAATAACAAATTAAGAAAAATATATGTTATCTGTTTATTTACGAATTCCTTATAATCGTAACTGTTATAAAAAATATATTTTATCTTTCTTTAACCCTCCGAGTGTCCATAGTTTAGGCCTTAATGTCCGCCTATTTTTGGCGCATTTGCAAGGTTTTATTAAAACGGATCTGAGAAGCTTAAAACAATGTTAATTCTACTGTTCTATATACCATTTTGTTTGGAAAATCATGGGCTTCAATATTATACATAAAACATAAGGGACATTTGTTTCAAAAAAATTTGTTAGGTAAAAAAAAAATATTTTGGAATATGTTAAAAAAAAAAAATAAGTTCGCGCTCAATGAAATTGTATAAATTATAGGCCTATAAATATTTGAAAATAGCCACTTTGTTCTAAATTTTATGATGATTACAAATATATAATAATATAAGGAAGTAGATTTGCAAATACATAAGTTATGGGCAAAAAACAGATTTCAGTACATAGCGTTTAGCTAAGAATGCATAGCCTAACCATAGCTAGGAATCTGGCTGATAATTTACATCAATATCACTACCTACTTCTTCAGGATCATCAACCAGCCCTTCAAAATCACTTAAATCTTCTTATAATGCACCACGTATATCACTACTTTTGATTTTTAACACTAAAACAATGATAAACGTAATAAAACACATCAGTCATGGGTCCGAGGGTAACCTAGCTGTTTACAAATACGCACGTCAGCTGTCTGCTACAATTACGATCGGCTCGGAGAACATAAAGCGCTTGGAGACAGACCTCTGGAGAAAGCGTAGAATATAACGAAAAGAACGATACTTAACTCGATCCAGTTCAATCCGATTCAGTCAGTCATAGAGCCTTTGCCAGAGGTCTGTACGAAATACGCCTTCGCCTCCTGAACATCGCCGTAAACGATGTTCGTGCGTCGAAAAATCAACGTGTGACACTACACAAAGTGTGTCGCGCGTCGATTTTTCGACGAGTGACGCTCGGAGGGTTAATCACTTTTTAATGAATGCGTTTCCTTACGGCTGATTTCAGGCTAAATAAAATACAAATGAAATATGTTTACAAATTACTGTATTTATTTTGTTATAATTTTGGGGTTGGGCTATGACCTCGAAATGAGTGCGTGCCAACAGTGAGTCGAGTGGGCGGGGGGAAGGGATGGGTGCAACCTTGAAGCTATATTTAGACTTGCACCACTTCCCTAAAGGGCTGAGAAAGGGATCCCAATCGCAAAACAAAAACCAATGATACAAAGTTGTTTATCGGAAATTGCTTGTCCGGTTTGACGATTATTTAGCATTGATTTTTGTATGATTTAGTAGGGACCAGGAGAAATATTCAAATTAATGTAAATGATTTGCTTTTTTACATCAAAATACAACATTGCACAATCGTGATATTTTAGGTCATTTACCAGTGAGTGACCTTTAATACGCATCCGTTAGTGCTGTTTTAGAAGAGAAACACGTCGATAGTTAAACAAGATTTATGTTCCTGTAGTTGAAAACGATAAATATGTAAACCTATAAAACATTAGATAACTCATAAAAATAATAGCATAAAAACGCCATTATTCTTTCTCTTTGTTCTTGAATTATTTCTTTGGTTTCCTTCTTTCATCCAAGCATTCGACAAAGGTTACCATGGTTACTAATCACCCCATTAGCCTCATGTAGTGCTTGGAACGACTATTTTTGATACGAGACCCCTGGGGTCTCGTATCGTAATAAAGTAAAAGTTTATTACTTCAGTGCGTTACGAGATCTATTTATCTCGTTCATTTCATATTTACTAGTTGATACACCAAGAAATACCCCTGCCGCAGCAAACCTGCAGACTAAGCGAATTTCAACTTGTCTGATTACATTTTTACTAAAATATTTCCATAAATAAGACATATTTATTCCCAATTTAAATAACATTAGATTTAACCAGTGCTTAGTGTTGTAAGAAAGACTTAGTAAACCAAAAGTATGGCTTTTATTCATTCAAAATTACAACCATGTTTTAGTTAAGAACAAATACAATATTTACAAACAAATCAAATAATAAATACTATCAGGTGATAATGTTCACATCACCACATTCTCCCCCACTATTTTTCAAGGTAGGTATAGCATATGTAATCCTTTAGATATGACGGAGGCTTGACATTCCTCTTTGGACGTAGTTCCCCCACAGCCGTCTCTGAAGTTGGGGTCTGAGATACCGTTTGTTGAGTTTCATTTTGAACTTCATTGTGGCCAATGTCTGAATTTATATTTTCAACAACCTCTTTCTCAATAGTGTTGTCTTCATGAGGTAGGCCAGCGGGTGCAAGATGTTTCAGGGATACTTGTGATTCTGACCCATCTCTTCTTCTGACGAGAGCGTACTGTGGATTTGATTCCAAAAGTTGAACTGGCTCCACAAGGTCATCATATTTATTAGATCTTACAAACTTTCTAAGCAGG